ACCTCGGTTATCCAGGAGTACTCGGACCTGGAGCAGCGGGTGTGCGAGATGGAGAACTGCAAACTGCGCATCAAGGAGCTGGAGGCAGAGCTCCTGGAGCTCCAGCAGATGAAACAAGTCAAGAAGTACCTGCTCAGCAGAGAGGACAACCTGTCCGAAGCCCTCCTCGAGCCACTGAACAACGCCCCAGAAGCAGATTACATCGACCTGTCTGAGGAGGAGGGAGGGAAAAGCCACGGGACATCCATGACCCCTTCCCCAAACCACCCCGTGCGGAAAAGCTGCAGCGACACGGCCCTGAACGCTATCGTGACCAAGGACGCTGTGAGCCGGCACGAGGGCAATTACACCCTGCACGCCAACAACGTGCGCAAGCGGGGCATGTCCATCCTGCGCGAGGTGGATGAGCAGTACCACGCCCTGCTGGAGAAATACGAGGAGCTCCTCAGCAAGTGCCGGCAGCACAAGGACAGCGTGCGCCACACAGGGGTCCAGACCTCCCGGCCCATCTCCCGCGACAGCTCCTTCAGGGACTTCCGAGGAGAGGGGAATGAGCTGGAAGAGCGGAAAACCATGGAGAAGACCATCAGCAAACACGTGGAGGCCGTGGACAAGCGGCTGGAGCAGAGCCAGCCCGAGTACAAGGCTCTTTTTAAGGAGATCTTCTCCCGCATCCAGAAAACAAAAGCAGACATCAATGCCACAAAGGTGAAAAACAAGAGCAGCAAGTGAATCCTGGCTCTCCGCAGCTCCCGTGTGCAATTGCAATGGCCACGTCTTCTTTTGAGCCCCAGAAAACGCCACGTGGCCCCTCTGCTTTGAAGGTTCGAGAAGTCTGCAAGTGAGAGAATGTCACAGGGACCCAACTCACTTTTTTAAGCTTAGGCTCTAGACAACCCATTGGGACAATTGTACATTGTAGTTAGAGGATTTCAGAAACCACATGATGGATCTCTGCATGAGTTACTGCCGCTGCCAGACATCACAACAGCAATGTAAACCCCACCATGAAAGAAAATAAATCAATCTCCCCTTCCACACTTTTTCAGCTTGTCCTACAGCCCAATTATCTGCAAGCAAAAGCCTGGATGTCCTCCAGTGTCCTGCCACAGCTGGAGTACAGCATCTCAAAGTAAAACAAAAAGCCATCAGAACTTTAGGGGCTGCCCCAGCCCAATCCTCCGTTAGGTTTTATGGCTGAGAACCTATGCTTGAACCCAAGAGATTTCTATCCCTGCCTTCCCCAAAGGGCAGTATGGTCTTGCTATTTAAGCCATTCTCTAATCAGTCAGGTTTTTCAGCTCTATACAATGCAAGCTCATTGCAACTGGAAAAACTTGAAGAGAAACATAAAACTGATTGTTCCATCTCCATCAGCGTCGCTCAGTGTTTCAGTCCACACTCTGCAGGCCTTGCAGGCATATGGGATTTACTCGCTTTGTCTGCTCTGGCATTACAACCCAGGTGAAGCACTGTGCCTGGTAGGAACTTGGTGCCCAGGGCTTTCCCATAGCGAGACAAGAAGTGCTATTACAACATCAGAGACACACTTTCATCTCATGGTATGGGTACCAGCCCTCTGTGCTGTGCTCTTCAAGAGGTCATTGTCCCATCATAGCAAATTCCTCAAAAAACTTGCATGGGCTCACAAAACTGACTCCCAGGAACTCACACACAAGCCAGGGGATGCAGCATCTCCCGGGACAGGAGTCTGGCCCTGGCAGTAGCATGGATCACACATCACCCCTCACTCCTGCTCCAAACATCTCCCCAGCCACAAGGACAAATTTCAGCTTCCTGCTGAAAATAATCTTTCTTTGTTGAGATGCTGAAGCCACTCATGTTCCAGTTCCCTTTCCAGCACTGAAATCTCCTCACTTTGGCTTCCACAGACATGCAAACACATAGCCAAAAGGCCACTGCAGTCTCAGGAATCACCAGTTTCCAGTTTCCCTGGACTAGATGATGACCTTGTACAGTCAGATTCATTTTAGGCAGAGAAGCAGCATCTCATTACAGCTTAGGCAATACCCTGAGCATTGAGCCACAAAACCCAGCAGCTCAGTAAGCAACCTACTCTGTACCAGCCTGGAGCAACCATCAGCTATATCTGGATTCTCTTTTCACCAGCCTATATCCCAAAATCTTGGGTCAACAGCTGGAAACTTTGCAACATGGAGATACAGAAATGTGAATGTGGCTTTGGAAGGGGAAGACTGCTCAAATGGAATTATCCCCCACATCCAGGGCTTTGATGCTACAAGGAACAACCTTTCTTTCACTCCCCATGGAATTAATGCAGAACCCCCCCCAAAAAAAACCCCTGTTTTGTTAAGCTGTGTGCCACAGAGGTAAGTTGGCAGGAATGTGATGCACAAACCACCCCTGCTCCAGAGGTCTCCTCCTCAAAACCACCAACTGCTCTGCTCTTCCATACTCTGCATTTCCAGGTGCCCCACAGCCCCAGACACATCAGGAGCCGTACGCTCGGCTGTGGCTACCAGCTCTCCAAACTGGCAACAGTACGGAGAACCTTCATGCCTTATTTATTTATAATGGAAAGCAGTTGTCTAATAAAATAAAATAAATTAAAATGAACAACAGCAAGGGAAGTGTTGTTGATTTCCTGGGAGTGTCCACCACCCCTTGACTTGGCATTTGTAGCAGTGTTGGTTTAAGCCAGGCAGTGTTTGCCCTGCAGTCACTTCATGCTGCAAAGGTGTAGGAAGGGAATAACCCTCACTTTCTGTTTTAAACAATCCCATGTGGATCAGCCTCACAGTTAAGTGCACAACACATTAAATATGTTTTTAAATGCTCTATTCTCCTCTAGAATCCAAAGAAACACCAATTTCTCAGCTCTTACAGTTCTTTTTACTTTTAAGAACAGGACGAGAGTTAATCCTTTGATTTTCATATACAATTTGGGTTGAGAAAGTGCTTCAGGCACCGTTGCAGAAAGGAAAGAGAATATGCTGAACTATTCTGCTGCATTATTTATATAACACACACTTTTGTGCACTTGGACTGCCAACACTGCCACGCAATAAAACCCCTCTTTTGTCAGCTCGGAAGTAAAACCACACAATTTCTAAGGTCCCAATTCAAATCCTATTTTTCTTTTGGGCTTTTTTGCAAACCACAAATCCAAAAATGACTGATGTAAGTAACATGATATTAGTATTTGGCTTGACAAAGGCACAGCTGCCGTGTATCAGTGTTCATGTTCAGCAAAATGCTGAGGGCAATTTTTTCTGCATCCAAAAATATTAGTGGCCATACATACACATCCTGATTGACTGTGTGAGTCAGAGTCACTCGATTCCTGCCTTAAGTGAAGCTTTCAGTGATCAGAGGAGGAGAAATAAGCATCTCTGGCATTTTGTGCCACCTCTGATCCAAACTTTTCCAATTGCTTTTGGAATACCAAGGAAAGCTACACAACTCCACTGAGAGGGAACAGGAGAGTGCTGAGCAACCAGAGAAACTGCTACATAACAGCACACCCCCATGGTTCATGACAGAAAGGAAAATTGCTGCATGCAATTAAAATGGATGAGCAAAAGTATGATGTCACAGGAAATCATTTCAGAATTTGGCAAAATCAGTGTCCCTCTTCAGTTCGCAGCATTAAGGTCAATAAGGGCACAGCTTGCCAACTATCTGGTTTCATGCTGAATTTGAAAGCTGGCATTTAGACACGTACAGTTCCATCAGATCTGGCCTGGCTTCTCACTGTACCACCAGCTGCAATAACCCTTCAGGAGGGCACCTATTGTTATTAGCAGGGAGGAGCCACTTGAAGCACAAATTCAAGGGATTTACAGAGCTCAAGTTCCCCCAGGAAGGATTCAGCATCTTCCCTCTTACAGCAACTGAGACTCCTCAAAGCCCTGAGGGACCTTGCTCCTACATTAGCAGCCTTTACCCTCCCTCACACAAGGAGTGACTGGATCTGTGGACACCTCAGCCTTTCCTTCAGGTTTTTGGGATGGCTCTGGACAGCTTTTGCTAATCAGTGACCACCAAGGGGCTGAGGTAGCTTCCTCAGTCAGGACCAGTGACAAAGCAGTTGCTTTCTCCAGCTGGAATGCCAAAGGTTTGGCTCTCTTGGCTCACACCAAAGTCAGATCTTAATATCCCAAGCCCTGCCTGATAGGGAGAGCAGTTTCCAACCATCCAAACAGATATCACCCAGCTTTTTACCAAGGCTTTGTGGACCAACACGGTGTGGGAATGAAGCAAAACCAGACAAATGTCCTTTTAGACTGGCCTGGCTTCACCTGTGTGACCTGCCAGCTCCTTCCCCAGCCCCTCTGTGGCACTGTCCTTGGAAGGTGCTCCTGCACAACCATCAGACAAGTTTGACAGCAGCTGGTAAATGACTCATCCTGCCTTGAGTATTTTACCCATCACTCTGGCTACAAATCACAAACATTTACCTGTTCCCTGTTAGAAATTAAGGTCACCAGATGGCACGGTTTGCCTCTGACAGCTCTGGGTTTTTTCCTTAAAGCCTTTTGTTTTCAGCTGAGTGCGGACAAGAGCAGTGGAGCAGAACTCCAGAAGTTTGATTAAAGCAAAGTGAGGAGCTGCTCAGCTGCAGCCAGGCCAGAGAACCATCCATGTTCAGGACTTTCTCCCTCCCAAAGACTGAGTTCCCTGACTTTAAATGGATTATCTGTGTGGGACTCAGATCAGTCACACAGTCTGTGTCATCTTCTGAACACCCATTTTGGCTTCATCCACAGTTTTCAATAAGAGATTGTCAGTTCCTGTCAAAACAGCAGAGCAAATGACAGCCCATCCCTGCCTGTGCATTTTCCTGCTGCCAGGAATAGCAATCCCTGCCCCTCTGGAACGCACACCCTTCTTGTCAAGCCAGCCTGACAGCTCCAGCAAGAGTAAAGGCTGAAGGACTTCCACAACTGCCTCACTCCCCTGCATCCTACACCCACCGCTGCTATATCAGCATTCAAAGAAATGATGTGTGTATGTACATGTGTATGTGTATGTAACTCTTTAGCGCTTTGACAGGATAAAGACGTGAAAACTTGAAGCACTCCAGGTGCAAAAACTACACAACACATTAAAAAAGCTGGATGTATTTTCATTTTCAGCACTGGTGACCTCGCAGGTCTGGGGCGCACAGACACCATAACCTCCATCATCCCTCATCCGTCATCCCCCCGCATTCCCTTCTCTCGGCACCACACACCTCCCATTAGTGCTGCAGACACTCCCCGCCCCACAGATCCCCAGCACGGACATCACACGCTCAAAATCCACCCCACAGCCGCCAAGGAGCCTTTTTATTCCTCTAAATCGCTCCCATTGCTTCCTGCGCCCCGCCCCGC